TAAAAATAATCGATATCAGCCTGTGAAAAAGAAAAGATAATCTCGGCCTTATCCAAGTTCCCCTGTGATTACATAGTGTAGGGATTACATGGTGGAGTGATTACATAATACATTTTCATTTCTTTAAATTTGTGAATATACAAATTGTACAGTGATAGTGTTAAAAGTTTAAAAAAGGCATGTTTAAATTAAAAAAGAAGAAATACATGAAATAGACAGATTGTGTAACTGTAATTACACTACATAAATAATATATATCTTATTAAATCTTTACAATCATTCTTTACAATTTTTGCAGTCTGACATCCAATTAACTGTAAATAATAAATTACAATAGGATCGAAAGACACTGGCATAAAGATAGCAAATCATTTACAATGTTAGAGTTCTATTGTCAAAAATAAGTGTTTTTATAAGCTTATTTACTCTTTTTTAATCTCATTGTGAAAGTGTAGATATATCATTAAAAAGGAATAATTGTCCGTGATTTTTTTCACATCTTCATGATCTTTGGAACCGCATATCTCATATGTATTTACAAAAAATAATAATTTCAAAATACTACGACACGAGTAGATAAGGTTAATGCACTCACAGCAGAGTATAATGTTAAATATCAACAAATTGTAAGTAATAGTGTGGCAACTAGTGCCTTTCACAGGCTTAGATTTTGGAGGTGAGAAAATGTTGAAATTCCAGTTTAATTTAGGGCAGTTTATTATGACATGGCCGCAGCTCTATCCAATACAAAGGGTTGATTACAAGTGTAACAGCGGGGATTCACAGCGGAAATGAAAATGGTTAAGTGATGAGAAGCCATTAGACTATCACAATTTTCTCTCACAACAACCTAATTCATTTATCTTGAAAACGATGGATTTGTTTTTAAGTTCTGTGTTAAAACGGCTTATTTTTCCGTTTCCCGTTTCATATCCTACATATACAAGATTTGTGTGTATGGCAGTTCTGAAATTGGCGGCATCGGATATTTGCATTCTGCCCAGTGGTTCATCAACTTCAAAGTCACAGAGAACACGAAACAAGTTAGAGAAAGAAATCCAAGTTACACTGCCCCACATTTTGTGAACACAACTATTTCAGGAGTGATTTAAGTGACGACTGGGTATAAAAGTGACTGTTTTCTGATGAATGGAGAAATAAGGAAACCAAGACCAAACATTGAACAATAAAGGTAAATTTGCAATTATATAATTATGTGTATGTTACGATAAAGTGTAATTAAGGTTAGTGTCTTCAGATGAATTCTAACCTTAACTACAGTTCATGAGGATTTCGATCCTTGGTCAAGGTGGTTGCTTTATTTATTGTGTGAAATGCTAAACACTTAAGCTATCATTTTATTTGGAGTAAAACTACCCGCATGCATGTACATGTTATCATTAACCTCTCTGAACCTTTGAAAAATAATGGCGGAAGTAATACGTGTTTTAATTGCATATGTCCTGTCTGAACTCATCTGAATGCAAAATCGTGTTTCATGCAATAGTACATGTATATGATCTGGATTTATATGATAAAAGCACATCATTCTCAAATAAAATCTATCTTGTCTTAGTTTGTCTAAACGTGTGTGTAGACTGAGGGTATATGTACGCGTTCTTTAGATGAATGAAATTTTCATACGGAAAACCAACGGAATTTTACAAAAATTGTGCAAGCAACACTACTCGACTGTGGTGCACATTATGTAATCCGGCATGCCTGAAGAAATAAATGCCCATGAGTTTTGAAAAATTGAAAGTTTGAAAACAATTATATGAGATGATTTACGAGTTTAAAAATTTTATCAATAGGTAAACTATGGATTTGTTCAAAATATGGCGGCCATATTTCCTTTGGACATGTTGGGAATGCATTCAGCAAGTCTTCAATGGCATCAGCCATAAGGAAGGCATAGAAGTATCGCTTCGGTCAAAGACAGTAAATGTGATAGATGTGTTTGAAATCAAACTGTTCGACAATAATCAAGAGAGGGACTTGCCTCCTTCACCTTTTTTTCTTCGCGGATATAGACTGGACAATACAGTTTTCAACGTACTTAGAGATATTATTTGTGACATCACCATGCTACTGCATGCACACTGAACCCCCTTCCCTCGTTGAATACGCCGTGAAATCAGTCAAAAAAACTGTATGTGTTTGTATAGATTATTTGTTGTTTAATTATAGATTAAATAATAATGTATTTCATCATTAGAATATTGAGATAAAAATGTCCCTTGAAAGTCTTTTTTTGAATAAGATGTAAAATGTATGTTTTTTTCCTGTAAAAAGTTTTTTAGAGGAAATTAACCCTCTGATATTCTGCTGTTTTCTATATAAAATGTTTATTTTCTATCGGCGAATAATGAATGTAAAATCTAGTATGTTAATGATGGTTGCTTTGGCTTTGAAAAACTGAACGTACAATGCACCAATGTGAGTTAAAAGAGGAAATTTACTCTGTAAATTTTTGCTATTTTCAAATTGTAATTGTTGTGGTGAATACTGTATCAGTGATATTCTTTGGGAGGAAATTTACTCCGTAAAATATTGTTATATCAAGGATAGTCGCTTTTGAATTGACTACTGTATGCTAACTGTATCAGTGTCATTTTTGAGAGGAAATTTACCCTGTATATTTTTGCCTTTTTTCAAGTTGTAATGTGGTAGTGAACATTATATCAGTGATAGTCTTTGGGAGGAAATTTACTCCGTAAAATCTAGCTGCATAAACGATGGTTGATTTGGCTTTTAAATACTGAATGTACAATGCACCGACGTGAATTTACAGAGGAAATTTACTCTCTGGATTTTTGTTAATAGCAAACTGTAATATAAGTACTGAACACTCAATCAGTGAAATTCTTGGGGAGGAAATTTACTACGTAAAGTCTTGTTATATAAAGGATAGTCGCATCTGAATTGACTACTGTATGTTTACTGTATGAATGTCATTTTGAGAGGAAATTTGCTCTCTAGATTATTGCTATTTCAAATTTTAATGTAGTTGTGTACACTATATCAGTTATATTCTTTGGGAGGAAATTTACTCCGTAAAATCTAGCTGTGTAAACGATGGTTTCTTTGACTTTGAAATACTGAATGTACAACGTACCGACGAGAATTTAGAGAGGAAATTTACTCTGTAAATTGTGTTATAAACAAACTATAATGATAGTAGAGAACACTGTATCAGTGATATTCTTTGGGAGGAAATTTACTCCGTAACATCTAGCTATGATCACGATAGTTGATTTGGCTTTGAAATACTGAATGTACAATACACCGACGTGAATTTAGAGAGGAAATTTACTCTCTAGATTTTCGTTAATAACAAACTGTAATGTAAGTAGTGAACACTGTATCAGTGAAATTCTTTGGGAGGAAATTTACTCCGTAAAGTCTTGCTTTATAAATGGTTGTGGCTTCTGAATTGACTACTATATGTTTACTGTATGAATGTCTTTTTGAGAGGAAATTTCCTCTTTAGATTTTTGCTATTTTCAAATTGTAATGTAGTTGTGTACACCATATCAGTGATAGTCTTTGGGAGGAAATTTACTCCGTAAAATCTAGCTGTGTAAACGATGGTTGATTTGAAATACTGAATGTACAATGCAGCGACGTGCATTTTGAGAGGAAATTTACTCCGTAGACTTTTTATTCTATTTTGAAATGTAGTGGTGAACAATGTATCAGTGATATTCTTTGGGAGGAAATTTACTCCGTAAAGTGTAGCTATGTAAACGATGGTTTCTTTGGCTTTGAAATACTGAATGTACAATGCACCGACGTGAATTTAGAGAGGAAATTTACTCTGTAGATTTTTGTTAGAACTTATTTGCAATGTTAGTAGTGAACACTGTATTAGTGAAAAGCTTTGGGAGGAAATTTACTCCGTAAAATCTAGCAATGTAAACGATGGTTGATTTGGCATTGAAATACTGAATGTACAATGCACCAATGTGCATTTAGAGAGGAAATTTACTCTCTAGATTTTTGCTATTTTCAAATTGTAATTGTTGTAGTGAATACTTTATCAGTGATATTCTTTGGGAGGAAATTTACTCCGTAAAATTTTGTTTAATCATGGATAGTCGCTTTTAAATTGACTACTGAATGTTAACTGTTTCAGAGTCATTTTTGAGAGGAAATTTACCCTGTAGATGTTTGTCTTTTTCAAATTGTAATGTGGTAGTGAAAACTGTTTTCAGTGATAGTTTTTGGGAGGAAATTTACTCCATAAAACTAGCTATGTAAACGATGATTTGCGTTCTTTAAACTTTTAGTATTTGCACCAATAAATATCTTGTAAACTGTGTTATTTGTTGAGTTTTGTCAATACCTAAGGGCAAAATGCTTAAAACAGAAAAAAAGATTTTCTGTTTTGATTTTGGAATGCGTTGTATATACATGAAGGTTTTAAAAAGGGGGAGGACACACATGTTATAAATTTTACAGAGATTCTCAGACTGAGTTTTTCCCACTTTCACTGGGCCACTGTTGCACCAGAATGTAAAAGTATGAGTGACAAAGAAAACTAAAAGATTCTGTTTATTTCATTAAAAAAGATCTATCTAAGAGAAAAGATTTATTGGCATAATATGATCTGAGTGATTATCTCCATATCATTCTTTTGGTCACTGTGATAAAAGATTCATAGAGATATATTAGAAATAACAACTGAGAATATCACTTTATTTATTGTAAAGGCATGTATCAGAATTTGGATTTTATAAGATATGCTATGAGTCTCCCCATAAGAATATTTAGAATACTGATCCGATAAAAGGAATCTGAGACAATATAATCATAAATCAAGCAAAAAGATTTATCAGCATTTTGAGAATCTCTTAGTTTCCTAGAGTATTTTAGGGTAAATAAGTGCAGTGTTTATATAAATGTAATAAACATTAGGTATATAACACTGTAATAATGGATAAATACAAATATGACCTTCATAGAAAATGTATGAAGAAAAGTTTGTTAAAACTTACCAGGTAACCCGGTTACTCAGTATAGAATTATTCATACTATAAATAATCCAGTGAAATATCTTCTAGGCTGATCCAGGATTCACCTGTTCAGAAGTTTTGGTACTGAAATAGTTGTTTACATGAAGTCTCCAGCGCTGTGAAAGTCTGTATTGTTGTGTCAAAATAAGCAGCCATCGCGGCTTGTGAAGGGCTAACATGACGTCCCTGGCAAGCTTATGACGTCACAATGCATAGGTAGATCGCTGCCTAGACAGTGTACAGAAACGTACACAGTACGATCAAAAAGTAAGTCCAACCTATTTTTTGCACACGACCCTAATTTTTTTTGCACACGGTCCTTACAGATCCAACAGGTATAAAAAGATGATGCAACAGGTATAAAAAGATGATGCAACAGGTATAAAAAGATGATGCAACAGGTATAAAAAAGATGATGCAACAGGTAGTAGTAGCAGCGTATATAGTATAATGTTAACACAGTGTAAACACACCCCGTATTTAGGGGACTATGTAATGAATTGACCCACTTATCCCCCAAGGACTGTACTGAGTTGAACCCCCTATCCCCCACAGACCCGCCTAATCTGCACTCTGTTGAACCCCCTATCCCCCCAGCCCCAAAAGTGCACTGTGTTGAACTCCCTATCCCCCCAGTCCCAAAGGTGCACTCTCTTGAACCCCCTATCCCCCCAGTCCCAAAAGTGCACTGTTTTGAACCCCTATCCCCCCAGCCCCAAAAGTGCACTCTGTTGAACCCCCTATCCCCCCAGCCCCAAACGTGCACTCAGTTGACCCACCCGGCTAGACCCCTTATACTACTGATATAGTCATGTACTAAATATACAAAAATAGCGAAAATTAAACGACAGGATTTTTTAGGGGTAGGTGTGTTGTACATCCTTAATACAACAATTTCTCATGATTAATTGAAAACTAGGTAATTTGATATAAAGCGCAATTTTATCTTGAATAAAAATGAAATGCTATGTTTGGTTCACAATACAGATACATAATCTTTCTTTGAGTAAAGAAAGAAAAGATCTGTTACTAAGGAAAAACAACTGGCTAATGTAATCAGGTCCTTACTTTGTGATCCATAGCTATGTAGGCAGCTTGTTATCAATTAGTCTTTTAAGTTTTTTTAAAATAATTATTTGTTTAAAGGGGTGACAAATTTTTCAGGATGTAAATTGTAGTAGACATACAAAAAAAACAATGTCAGACAAAGAGTCACCTCAGCATGATACTGATACAGAAGTAGATTCTACACAATTGGATTCTAGCAACAACTCATCCGAATCAGAAGATTCACAATCAGAAAACTCAGAGTACGAAACTGGTGTGTATATTTTTAGAATTAAAACTTCTTTAAGGTTCCGTAAATTCCTTTTAAAAAATCATTAAATTTATAAGATTTCAAAATATTTTACTCAAACTTATAATAATATTTTTAAGAATTCATCTAAATAGTGGAATGTTTGAATTTGAATTTCACAACTTTGAATAAGGATTTAATGAATTTAAGGTTTTGCCTTTTTGTCTTATACATGAACATTAATAAAAATATTCATTATACATTTTCCTGCAATTTATTATTAATGTCCCCAGCAATGAAAATGATACTCTTAATTAAATGTTTTTTATGTTTACAACAGAGGGTGAGTCAATTGTTTCCAAAGAAGAGGAAAATTGTCTTCGATATTTCCTAGGCATTGGTATCGCAGAAAAGGCAGTAAGGATGTGGTTTGATACCGTTATTCCAGCAGATCAACTTGAAAATCATTTGAATAGTCATGAAAAGAAACTGTTAAAGAATTCCAACACTGAACAAATATCGACATTATTTCCTGGTGAGAATTTTAATATGTTACATTGTATTGAGAGGGTATTTTTTTATGTTTAAGATCTAACGTGATACCAAAAATAGGTTCAAATGTTTTATTGTAGTACTCTTAAATAAAAATAAAACACATTCCGTTTTCAAATAATACAAACGGTGACAAATTACTGGATTTAATTATTTAAAGAAAAATGACATTTAACTAGTTTTAAACTTTTTTCATCTAGAAATAGAAGCAATAAAATCGGATGATAAACACAGTTCAATATAACCAATAAAAAACAATTATAAGCAGATTTTCTAATAAATGCAGCTCCAAATTCAATACACCTTTAGGATCAAGGCATGGTCATATATATTTGCTAATTAGCCTTTGTTTTACAGGATATGGGCCAGTAGCATCGACTAGTTTTGACATATCATTGCTGTACAAAATAATAAGAAAAACGACAAAAGTTAGAAAACCAAGGCAAGATTGGGGAGGAACTCCAGATCCCATGGATATAAATCCATCTGATGACCTGGAACGAGTCCGGATTTGTCGTAACTCAATTTGTCATGGACCACAGTCAATTAGCAATACCGAATTTGAAAAGAAGTGGAAAGAATTGAAGGAGGTGAGGAAATATTTTTTCTTGTCAGTCTTAAATTTACGGGGTAAAGATTTTTCGAACATTTTATTTAATTTTCTCTTCTCTCTACATTCACGTTACAAAGCTGGAAGAACCTTTTTATAATACAAATTTACACAATATTAAAGTCATTTGGTAGTCAGGAAGAATGGCTTTTGCATGCTCACTACAAACTATTTTAGAAACAACTTGAATTTTCAACCGGGCGATAGAAATTGATTTTAAATTATGAAATAAAAAAAATCAAAAGAGAAAGTGAAGAAATATTGATATAGAAAGCACAAAGAAATTCACATTTACATGGATACCCACTTCCGCCCAAGCCCAAGGGTTGAGCTCTCGACCCTCGGAATCTGTCCCCTAGCAGTACAGGAACAGCGCGCTAGACCGCTCGGTTTTCTAGGCAAGTCAAAAAACTTGCTTTCGATGCCGATGGAATTCTCGCGGCGCTGTCCTACACTACAAGGTCATTGAGAATAGAAGTGAGATACAGTTATTTGGACATTAGTTTTAACAGAGGATTGTTACCAATACACGTTGTAATGAAATTAATTATTATTTATAAAGCACATTTTACAACAACTCTTAAACTAATATAACTGCCCTAAGTGAAGAAATATTGATATAGAAACAGAAAGAAATAAATATATATACCATATAAGTGGAAATTTTAGTGAAACGCAAATTTAGCGATTTCTCCTTAAAAACTTGTATTTTATTTTTAGCGAGAAGTAATTTTAGCGATTTTAAAATACTCCCTAAAGAAGGTAGTACAAATAACACTCAATTTATTTTTAGCGATATTCAATTTGAGCGATCTCAACAGCCTCGCTAATAATGCCGAAATTAAATCCTCGCTAAAATTTCTACTTATATATATATATATATATATATATATATATATATATATATATATATATATATATATATATATATATATATATATATATATATGTATAAACATTTTTTGTTTACCAAAATTATGGAGCAAAGACCCACTTTACATTAAAAACATACTTTAATGACATAACAATCGCATCTTTTCTAGAAATACTTGGAGTCCACTGTTTTACACTCCACTAAGTCGAGGCTCGTATAACAAACATGATTTAAATAATTTTAAAGTCGTATTTCATTACGTGAGTTGTGTAGTCTAGTGGTTAGCGTGCTAGCATCAATAGGAATGCTGCTAATGATTTTATTGCTAGAGTTTGGTTGTATATTGATTGATTGGTAGAGTTCGAGCCCAATGAATACCAAATCATTTTTATAAAAGAGTAAATTTGAATGAAAAAAATTTCCTCAGAAAGGTTTTGTTTATCATGATTTTATAAATATCAATAATGATTAATTGTATATTGTTTAACGTCCCTCTCGAGAATTTTTCAGTCATATGGAGACGTCACCGTATGATGGGGAAGGGCTTCAAATTTTGACCTTTACTCGGCACTCAGGACCAGTGAGCAGAGAGGGATCTTTATCATGCCAACGCCTGCCGCTGACATGGGGCCTCGGTTTTTAAGGTCTCACCCTAAGGACCCTCAACTTTCACTTCAAAGTGCCGAGGGCATGGCAAAGAACAGTTGCTACCCATTTTATCGACTGGGTCAGTCACGGCCGAGATACGAACTCACGACCTCCCGATCACGGAGCGAGCGCTCTACCGACTGAGCTTCCGTGAACGGTTATCAATAATGAAAATTTTACTCTAAATAATCAAGTCACAATTTGAATATTACTTTTAAATGTCTGAAGATACGGGTTTTCTGCAGGCTAAGTTCAATAATCTCCTTGTAGACGAGATATTTTACGTTAGAGGTATCTTCAAATTAATATATTTTATGCCCCCTAAACGAAGTGTCGAGGGTATATAGTATTTGTCGTGTCTGTTTGTTTGTCCCCAAAAACTTCAACCTTGCCCTTAACTTTTGATTCAGTGGATCTACGACTTTCTTGTTGCACATGTGTATTTCTTGTATCAAGACCTTTCCTTGGCTACCAAAAAACTTGACCTTTTGACCTTGGAGTTTGGCCTGCTTTTACACAAAATGTCCAAACTTTTACTTTGGCCATATCTTTTGAACAGTAGATACAAGGACATCTGTACTCCACGTTTGTATTCTTTGTTAACAGCCCTTTCATTGGATAACAAAAACTTTTATGTTTTAACCTTGACGATGTCAGAAAAAACTTTAACCTAGGCCATAACTTTTCCACGTGTGTAATTTTTGCGAAATTATACATTGGATACAGAACTTTGACCTTTTGACCTAGGAGTTTGACCTACTTTTAAAAAGCAAATCTTGACCCTATTTTTACAATGGTTAGGACTAGTGCTATCATACTTTTATTTTTACATATTTAATCCTTGTGGCAAGACCTTCCATTTGACAATGGAGTTTGACCTATTTTTAAAGATTTTTAACCTTGGTAATAAATCTTGAAGGATTAAGGCTTGGGCTTCCATACTTCACATATGTATTTTTTGTGGTAAGACCTTTCATTGGATACCAATTACCTTAATCTTTTGACCTTTACTTTGGAGATTTCTGTACTTATAGAAAAACTTTAACCTGGCCTACTTTTATATTTCAGAATTGTATTGTATTGAGTTTCCAGTTAAGAAAACTTTAATCTTTGCATTATTGCCATACGGGGGCATCAGTGTTCACATCTTGTTTTTTATTATCTTAGTGATAATTCTTATAGCAAAGATTCTTTCCACGCAAATTAAAGAAATGTCACTGTCAAAATGAAAACATTATTCTAATTTCTGTATCGTAAACTTTGATTCGACATAACATTTTATCTAATTTTATCCGTGATCT